ATGTGTCTGTGCCCCGCAGGCCCTGGTGGCAGCCCCAGAAGGGAGAGCTTGCCTGTGGTGGGCAGAGGGGCAAGTCCTGGTGAGGGGCAGAAGGATCCCCAGGGGACTAGGAGGCTGTGGGCGAATGTGGAAGCTCAGCCGATAAGCGGCGCCGGGCCTCCCGGCCTCCTCCAGGCCGCCCCCCACCTTCCCTGCCACTCCTGGAGCTGCGGGCAGCGAGGCTCCCCGGCCCCCGCCCTCGGCAGGGCGGTGCGCCCACTCCCACACCTGTGCAAACATCCGCCCGCCAGCCGGGAAAACGGCCCCTTTGTGCCCGGCTTGGCACCGGTGCCCTGGCCCTCGCCGTCAGCTGCAGCTCCGGCCTCGGCCACCATGGGCCCTGGCCTGGCCATTGTTCGTGCCGGGCCCTGGGCTGCCCTGGGCCCCCGACACCCGGGCCCTGGGGCAAACGCTCCCATTCATAGCGGCGGCTGCCCCTGCAGCTGTCCGGCGGCCCCCGCGGCGTGAGTTATGGGCTGTGTTCCTGGCGCGTCTCGGACAAACAGAGCTGCAGAAACCGAAGCCGGCGGCCTGGCGGGGCCCTCAGCCAGTGCGCATCTGCGGCCGGGCAGTTGCCCCGGATCAGTTTCCTGCAGCCCGCTCTGCTCACCCACCCCGAGCGCAAGCACCCCTCCCCCTGCCCAGCCCCGGGAGGCAAGGGGCTTCTCCCTAACGGCTGGTGAGGCCACCGCGCCCCTGACAGGGCCACAGGCCATAGGCCACAGGCCCGGCCATTTCTGATCTGCATGCTGGGGCCACCCAGGAGCCAGATCGGCGTCTCAGAGATGAAGGGATAGACCCAACACCGGGCATCAGGGTGCTGGGCCGCGGGGAGGGCCGACCCCTGCATTTCCTGGGAGAGCCAGCCGGGAAGTCCCTCGGGAAGCTGCGTGTGCGGACGCTCATGTGCCCCACGGGCCGTAAGTGCCATGGGGTGGCCCAGGTGCCCTCCACCTCTCGGCCCAGCCAGTGTCTGCCACATGAATGAATGAATGAATGAATGAGCTAGCGCTAATAGGCGGTTCGGCCGTGGCATCTGGGACGGTGGGTGTATTTGTCTCCTGGGCTGTCACCAGAGCCCCAGCCTGGGGTCTTAAACAGCAGACATGCCTGCTCTCCCAGCTCTGGAGACCAGAAGCCTGAGATCAAAGTGTTGCAGCCTCCCTCCGAAGGCTCTGGGGAGGGTCCTTCCTGCCTCCTCCAGCTTCGGGGGGCTCCGGGCGGTCCTGGGCTTGAGGCCACATCTTCTGTCTCTTACGAGGAGACTTGTCATTGGGTTTAGGGCCAACCTGGGTAACCCTTCCCCTAATCACCGTGACAAAGGCCCTATTTCCAAGTAAGCTCATGTGCTGAGGGTTTGGGGGGGACACACATTTCAGGGGGAGCAACACTATTCAGCTCAGCCGGCGGGTGTCCTGGCCGGACTCCCCTCACCGAGCCTCAGTTTCCACACTGCAGCGACGGTGCCCACTCAGTGGCTGGGTGTCTCCTGTCCCCCCACCCGGGGGGGCTGCCGCCTCTGGTGTGAGAGAGCCCTGCTCCCCCACGTTGGTGCCCCGCGCCTGGCCGCTGGGTGTTGGGGAGTATTTAAAACTTTTTTCTTTGCCCTTGGAACAAAATGCATGTGTGTGTATGAAAGTTGGATCGAAGGAGACCGGCCCTGACAAACACGGGCTCCTCTGTCTCGTGCCCCGGGGTCTCTGAGATCAGAGGCTGCCGGGCTTCTGTTTACCCCGAATCTAAATTTAGATTCGTCCCCGCACCTCAGCCACCATGTAAAATAGTCAGACTCCTGTTCACTCACACTCTCCCTCGCCTCGGCCCCAGAGGGCCCTGGCCTCGCAGGCTGCATCGCCTCCGGGCAGAGTGAGGTCAGGGGTCTGGGGGCCGAGTGGGCGCCTGGGTTTGGACGGAGCCTCCTAGACACTCACATGCAAGCCCTGGGTGGGGCCAGTGTCAAGACCTCATCTGAAGCTGGGGAAACTGAGGCCCCATGGTCCCAGGGGTGGCAGCCAGGTCACCCTGCCCAACACTCAGACCCCACCCCCTCAGGGCTCCTCCTCTGCCAGGAGCTCCTTGAGAAGCTGGGAGCACTGTTTAGGGTCCGCAGGACCCCAGGCTGCTGCTGGCCCCCTCACAGCCCTGTGCCTATAGACCATCTAGTGAGAGGTAACTGTGGATTCCGGGAGCCTAGCCAGAGAGCCCTCCCCAAGAAAGGGCATTTTCAGCTGGGCTTTGTAGGATGAGTAGGAGCCTATAAGGCAGGTCCATCTACTGCCCACTGGCTGACACCTGGGGGTGTGGTTCTTACATGGACTTAGCAGGCCTGGTGAAGGACTGATTTTCTCCAGCTCATGTCAGGAGGGTGAGAACTTTCCAGCCTCGGCCTGAGGAAAGAAGCGTGGTCAGCATCAGGAAACATGGGGAGACAGGAAGCGGTGTGGTGACAGAGGTCAGGAGCTCAGACTGGAGCCGGATGTGGGGTGGCATCCCAGCTCTCCCACTGACCAGCTCTGTGGCCCTGGGCAGCTTACCCACCACTCCCTCCCATCTGTAAAATGGGTATAAAATGAGTATCTATTTCCGTGGGTTGTTGGAGAGTGAAATCAGGGAGAACGCAGAAAGCCTGGGGTGCCAGGCACCCAGCAATGAAGTCTCCACCCCCCTAACTGTGGTATTGTAAGGGTGGCCCCTGCTCAGGCCCCTCTCAGCACTTCAAGTGTCCTGTCCCGGTCTGGCTGGTGCTCAGCTGGTCCGTGGGCTGGAGGCCGGGCGAGGTCTGGGCTGTGACGGGGCAGCCTCTTGCCTCAGCTTGGCTGCCTGCTTTTCTGGTGTCCCGGTGTGGAGTGGGGGGGGGGTTCTGGGGGCCTCAGTCCTGCAGGCTCAGTCTCCTACCAGCAGTGGCACCACTGGCACAGTGACTGCCCCCGGCCTCAGTTTCCCCCTCTATAACACGGTCCCTCACTAAGGGCCTCGGAGCGAGTTTGTCAGATGGAGGTGCCACCCGTGGGAACCTCTAAGTGTCCTGCTCTTGGCCACCCCTCCTCCCTGGGAAGACGGCCGGGATATTTCCAGATGCGTCCGGCCTGTGGTGGTGGCCGTTGGGGGCTGACCTCCTGCCCAGTGAGGTCAAGGTTTCTGGCCCGGCCTCCAGTTCCCGTGGAGGTGGCCTCCGGGATGCTGCTTTCTGAGGGAGAGACGACACTGGTACCTGCCCCAGCTTCTCGGGACAGAGCATGTTTGCGGGGAGGAGACGGGGGGGGGGGACTGAAAGGTTCTCTAGTGCCCCGTCCTTCGAAATGCGAGTGAAGACACAGGCCCTGGGAGGACACGGAAGGTGCTGTGGGCCCGTGGCGGGCCTGCCGTGTCCGTGGGGCTGCGTGCGAGGGGCCCGGCGCCCGGCGAGGCAGCGATGCCGAGTCCTGTCCCCCCCTCCCGGGGCTGTGGGCCGCGGACGTGCCGACCCGCATCCTAGCTCGCCCTGGTCAGGGGCAAGTTCCGAGCACAGCGGCTATAAAACGGCCCATTCCTGAGCTGCCTGTGTCTGCGAACTCAGGAAAAACAAACAGCGCGGTGGGGATGGGCCACTTCCTCAGAGAGCTGGGAGGGCGTCGTTAACTTGACAAAGAGGGTCTGTGACAGGGTCTGAGGGCCCGGCCACCCCCGGCTCTGGGCGTGTGCTCTCCCTGTGGGGGCGGGGGACACCTGGCCGGGGCGCCCCAACCTGTGCTGGCCAGCCGGCGGGCGGGCCCCGCACCTTCCCGAT